CAAGTACTCTAATAAAATGTAACTTTTCCTTTCTCGCATCTGCTTCCCCAACACATTCAAGTTTGGTCCCAAACTTTTCTGTGCATTTTCTGTGGGAAAAACAAGGGATATTTATCTTTCGTAAACAGAAGTGGCATAATGCCAGTGAATTACGTGCAGAATTTACAAAACATTAGCTTCTTTCTTTCTTTTCCCAAACAAATGTAGGCTACCATCAACTTGCTCCATCAGAAGCAATCCTTGTGAAGAGGACTGCTGTTGCTGCTGTTGCAATACAGAGACCTGTGTGAGGCAAAGATTACACTGCTGGGCAAAGTCTAAGGCAATCTTCTTTAACCTGGTTTGCTCCAGGTGCATTGGATTACAACTCCCCTCATCCCCAGCTAGCAAGGTCAGACCATGTTGCTTGGAGATCCCAGGAATTATAAATCAACACTCTTTGATTGCATGGTTTACAGAGTTGTTGTTGTTTGCGGTCAAGTTGACTTCAACTAATGATGATCCTAGGAATGAAAGACCTCCAAATGTCCTGGGCATTAACTCATGCCTTGCAAACTCAGGGCCGTGGCTTCCTTGATTGATTCTGTCCACGTATAGTGCATAGATTCTGGCAACCTTGTGATGCTACTCAAAAGCCTTCAAAGGACCCATCTGCACTGTAGAAATAATCTGGTTTGACACCACTTTAACTGTCACAGCTCAATGCTATGGAATTCTGGGAATTGTAGTGGGTTGTGGCACATAGCATTGAGCCACAGCAGTTAAAGTGGTGTCAAACTGGATTATTCTGCAGTGCGGATGCAGCCAAAGAGAACCAATTGATGCTAAGTGCCAACATCCTTGCCATTGTCACATAAACCTTCAGCTGTAGGTATTACTGAACGCAGGGGAATATGGTTGTAGTGTATATATGCAGGTGTGCAACAGTTACTTATTAAAGTGAAATAGACTTCCTTTATAAGCAAAAGAAATAATTTTTAGAAATGAAACAGTTCAGTAATTACCCAGGGAAAAACTTTCCTTGATTTCTACTTGATTTATTGTATTATTCTACTCACTAGCTGGATGTTTTGGCATGATAATTGATTAATGGACTTCTTGGAAGAATTTCATAATACAATAAAGGAAGAAGAGTGTGGTACAGTTATCTACAAGGTCTAGTGTTACATAGATGGACATTTCTTCTTTCATGGAAATGTACGTGGACCATGGACATAAATGGCAACATGGTTGTTACTAATTCATAGGGTAATATTATTGCTGCAGTGGTCATATTTCATTCTGATTGTCACAATCAAATGTAATAATAATAATAATATAATAATTCTATGCATTATTGGTATTCATCTTCTATAAAGCTTGACATATTTTTGCACTAAACATATTTATTGCTTCTATCCAGTTGCTAATTACATCTCAGTTGTGTCATAAAAGAAGTGCTTAACCAACTAGCCAAACAGAAAACTGTAGCCAAGGCTGCAGACATAATCCAGTTTGATGCCATTTTAACTGCCATGGCTCCATGTTATGGAATACTAGGATATGCAGCTTTGTGAGACTACAATTCCCAGAATTGCACAGCATTGAACCATGGCAGTTAATGCAGTGTCAACCTGGATTATTTCTGCAGTGTGGATGGAGCCTGATTCTACACTACTCATTTCAGTCTACACTGAATTTTCAAAGCTTCGACTATCTGCCTTATAGGAACTGTGGTTGCAGTAGCCAGCTTATGTAAGCAATGTTCTACAGTGTTATGAACAGCTATTGAAAACAAAATAAAAATAAACAGTGTATGCAAGGCAGGGTGAATCTGGAAGAACAATTATGATGAGGACACAGATGAGCAAAATAAGGCCTGGACAGCCAAGTAAGTCCAAGATGACAAGACTCCTGAGACTATAGAAAATCCTGCTGAGTTTCCTGATATTTTCCACAGCAGAAGAACAAAAAAAAAATTCCTTTATTTTCCCAATGTCTGCATTTAAGGATTTGGCATATTTCTTTAACTCCACACTTCCTGGCATTGGTTCCCTTATTGTGTGTTTCTAGTGCTTATCTGCAAAACTTCCTGCAACATGTCTTTAAATAATAATAATAACCCAAGCACCTTCATTAGGAATTTCTAGGCCAATGAAAGCAAAATCTTGTTTATCCAAAAGTCAAGAAATCTACTTATTTTACTATATATATATATATATATATATATATATATATATATATATATATAGCTGTAAATTCTCAAACCTGAGAGAGCTGCACTATGTTGGTATTGCTCCTTATCTATTCAGGGCCGTTTGTGCTAAACATTATTGCTCTAGGTTAACTTTGGTTATAAACGCTCATTTATTTCCAGATTAAACGTCTGCAGATGTTCCCGTGTTCTTTAAGAATTTGCACTTGGGTGTGCTTTATGGACTTTGGTGCTCTAGGAAAATTTGGTCTATTTCCTGAGAGTAATTGTGTGTATTATTGTTTGTACTGCACATGAAACAAAATTTGTGTACATTGAACTATCAGAAAGCAAAGGTGTCACAATCTCAGCCACCCATTAAAAACAAATTTTGGATTTTGGAGCATTTTTGATTGCAGATTTGCAAATAAGGGATACTCAATCTGTGTATATTTTCCTTATTTGTCAGACCTGGTGTTTTCTATTATAATTGTGTGCCCTGTCCAACTGTAGCTGATGCATAAGGCATCATGCTGATTGACATCGGAAGGGTTCATTCCTAGGTCTCAGGCTTTGACTCTGAAACTTCAGAAGCTGGAATAGTCCCAACTTGGCAACCCATTTGAGGAAGAAGGAAACGAAAAGGCTCTACCCCAGAAGCATTAGCGTGACCATAAACAACCCAATCTTTTGCAACACTCGAGTACTGTATATAAAATTACTGCTCTAAAGATTGGTACCAGTCATAGACCATGCCTTGCTCTGTACTCCCTTCAGTACCTAGGGGAGAAATTTGGTTGTGGCACCATAGCTATGGAGTTCCAAGAATGTCCTGCCATCATTACTGGTCCTTCTTGAACATTTTCAGGAACGGTTAATAGCAGTGCATTGGGTGTAATGCTTTTGTGGGGAAACGCACCTCTGGGCATTAATTCTCTACAGGACCTTACAGGCTGAAGGTTATAAAAGGTAAAGGTAGTCCCTTGACATGAATGTCTAGTCATGATCAACTATGGGGGATGGTGCTCATCTCCATTACTAAGCCAAAGAGCCAACATTGTCCGAAGACAACACCGGTGGTCATGTGGCCAGCATGACTGCACTGAACACTGTTACTTTCCCACCAAAGTGATACCTACTTGTCTACTTGCATTTGCATGCTTTCAAACTGCTATAAAAAGATACAATTAACCAGAGTACCTTCAAGTGAGAATGAGGTAGAAGGGAGGAAATCAGGTCAAGGACAAGCTAATTTTGCACCAAAATTTGTCTGATTTTTAATTTGTTTCTTCTGAGAGTGCTTGTATACCATTGCTGAATTTTACATTGATGATAAGCCACCTTGGGGGACAGTAGGGAGATGGTTCTACAAAGCCAAAAGGTTTCTGGGTACGTAGGGAGGCAAAGAGATCCAGCATGATGTAGTAGTTTGAGCGTTGGGCTAGGAATCTGGGAGTCCAGGGTTCAAATCCTCTCTAGGTAATGGAAATCCACTAAGTGACTTGGGCAAGTCACACTCTCTCATATTCAGAAGAAGGCCACAGCTCTGAACAAATCTTGCCAAGAATATTCCATGATTGATTCACTTGAGGATCACCATACATCTGAATCCACCTGAAGGCACAGAACAACAGCACACACAACAATAGCAATGGGGTAGCAAAAGAAATGTGTTTCTTATGAGGATGGGGGTTGGTGGAAAGTTATCTAATTTGGGGGCTTTGAGACCACTGCATTAACAAAAACAGGTTTGTTCCTAAACAGCCAAAAATATCCATATGCCAATTTACTTCAGCCTGGCCTATCTTTAGATTTCCTTTTCTTGCAATGGCTTTGCAAAATAAAAGTGAAAATTCCAACACGTGTACCAAGAATAATCCTGTCATTTCATCCTGTGCGTGTGACTTATGGACTGGCCCCACTTCTTGTGTATCATAAAAAAGAAACTCATCGAAATGAAAAGCCAAAAATGTACATCTAAAAATACTCTTGTGCTTGTGGGCACTTCCATCACACTGCAGATATGTAAACACAGCCAGATAACAGCTGTTCAACATTTGTGGATTGGTATGAGTCAGTATAAAATCTGAGTCACTTTTTCAAAGTTTCTATCTCTTTCCAATGGATTGCCATCTCAATTTCTCCTGCCCCAGATTCCTCACCACAACCACACTTCTTTTTCTCCATATCTGGGCTTCCTGCCTTTACCAGTTCCTTGGCAGGTAAAAATCTGAAGACCTCTTCAACACTACTTCTCCATGCTATAAAGGTATCACCTTTTGGATATCTGCCTCCCCAAAAAATCAGGTGAGCAAATACATTTTTACATTCAGATGAAACAAGAGATGCTCAAGGAAGCTTTATGGCTTTGGGATAAGTTTGAAACCCACTAGATGTCCTTGGACAAGTCACACTCTCTCAGCCTCAGTGGAAGGCATTGGCAAAGCCCCCCTCTGAACAAATCTTGCTAAGAAAAACCCATGGCAGGTTTGTCTTAGGGTCGCCATAAGTCAGAAATGACTTGAAGGCACACAACACACACATATCTGGAAGGCTGCATTCTCCTGCATGAACCTTTCCAGTTATGATGATGATCATAGAATTATAGTATCATAGAGTTGGAAGAGACCACAAGAGCCACCCAGTCCAACCCCCTGCCATGCAGGAACTCCATCTGTCAATCCCAACATTCCCCAAAATATGTCTACCTGATATTGAGTACCCACCAACATTTTATAAATGAGAAGCAGGACATGTGTGGCCAAGCAACATCAGAGTATGATCCAGATGGCAAAAGATATTGATGAAGAAAAACACACAAGCTGGAGCCAGCATGGTGCAATGGTTTGAGTGCTTGACTAGGACGCTGGAGACCAGGGTTCGATTCTCAGCTTCGGCCATGAAACTCACTGGGTGAACCTGGGCAAGTCACACACTCTCAGCCTCAAGGGGAGGCAATGGCAAACCTCCTCTCAACAAATATTGCCAAGAAAACTCCATGATACCCTTAGTATCATGAACCTTTGGGGTTGCATTAAGTTGGAAAAGACTTAAAAGTACACAACAACAACAACATAGGCTAGGAAAGGCTGCAGCAGTTGGCTTTTGGCTTTTGCCTTCTAGGAAGAGGAAGACTCACTCTCTCCTCTCTATTTTCCTCGGCTGAGTTAACAGACTGACAATTACATTTACACTTTGAGTTCAGTTTGCAACAATGGAAGTAGGTTGAGGACAAAGGGGGAAGGTGGCAGAAGAAACTGTTATGTTATCTCTACATAAATTAAATGCATCATTACAAGTTCTTGTCACTCTGAAACGCTCCTCTCTCTTCTCCAAAGGACATCCAAGCTCAGTTCTTTCTCTGAAATATCATCACTACTTAAGGAAGTATTGGTTAATATTTCAGCATTGTTCTTAAATAGAGATGTGAAGGCCTGTGGAAAAATTGGGGTGGGAGGAATTTGTCCATGTTGTTCCTAAATCATGCTAAAATAAAATATTCCATAATTGAATATTTCTTCCTTTTTTCCACTTTTTCTTGGGTTTTCCCCCCCATTTTTTTCTCTTCATTTTTCCCCAGGAAAAAAACAAGAAAAATTTAAAAAAAGAAGAAAATCAATTATGGAATATTTTATTTTAGCATAATTTAGGGAAAACATGGATGAAATTTTTTCCCCTAATTTTTCCACAGGGCTTCACATCTCTATTCTTGAGCAACAGTCTTACAAAATGTCTGCAAAACCACATTGGGTGAGGCAGTTGTTGTGTGCCTTCAAGTCATTTCCGACTTATGGAAGCCCTAGATTTATCATGGAGTTTTCTGAGGCTGAAAGTGTGCAACTTGCCCAAGGTCACCCAACTGGGTTTCCACGGCTGAACCCTAGTCTTCAGAGTCATAGTCCAATGCTGAAACCATTTACACCATCCCTTAGGAGAGGTGGGCTTTCCTTCAAAAATCCCTCTTCATCTTGCTCTTTATGTAGGCACATCAGGGCCATTACTAAGTCCTGCACTCCGAATTTTTCACAACTCTCTATTTTCATCATTAAATTTCTTTCTGAACTCACTGTCTACAATCCCACCTGCAGCCCCATGTATTGGAGGTTTACTCACACTATGCTATTATAGAAGTTGGATGCCACTTTCATTACCATCACTCCAATCCAAGGAAACCTGGGGTCTGCAGGTAGTCTTCTCTGCCAGAGAACTATAGTTCAGGGGTGTGGATTAGATAATGCTAAGTACCACCAGACCACAACCCCAGGGTCCTGTGCGATGGAACCATGGCAGTTAAAGACAGTGAGGATGATCTGCCGGTATCACGGGAAGGGGCAGCGGCTGCAAATATCTTTACGTAAATCCGTGAGTCCAAGAAAAATAAGGTTGGGTTCAACAAATGATCTATATACGAACTCTAGTGGCAAATGTCAGGAAAGAATAATGGGTTTGAAGAGAGTGCTTGGACAGTACTAATGCATGAACTACAGCTGGCATTCAAATATTATTAGGTTATAGAAAAGTGCTCCACATCTCAGACTTCCTGCCATCCTGTATTGGGGTTTTTGTACAGAATAGAATTTCCTGGAACAGAAACCAAAGGCTTTGTGTCTAAGGAAATTTATTGAGCCCCCTGCTGTCCTGAAAAATGAGAAATATTATTTGTTGTTGGCTGAATCCAGTGCATTGAATCCAGTGCAGTTCTGAAAACAGAAACAGGGGATTAGATCCGCCAACCTGCATCAGACATATAGCCACAATTTTGTGCCTGCAATACATTTCCTGATCCAAACCCCAAACCCCAAAAATTTACCCAGCTTCACCAAGTGTCAGAGTTCTTGCTTTCCTCTAAGGCTGAGAGAGTAGGCTTTGCCCACAGTCACTCAATGGTTTTCCATTGCCAAGTGAGAATTTGAACCCTGTTCCCCGGAGTCCTAGTCCAACGTGCAAACCACTACCCCATGCTGTCTCTCACCCAACACTCTTTAACACTCAAATATTTATGCCTGGACAGGGTTTCTATCTCTGGCCAATTTAAATTCTGAAGTGGCTCCCTACTTTCTCCCCCGTCTTCTCTGCTTTTCTCACTAACTGGGGAGCAGCAAACTTTCCCAAACTGTGAAGCATATTGTAGAGAGATCTTGTGGCACCTTTGAGACTAACTGAAATAAAGAAGTTGGCAGCAAGAACATGTGATGCATATTGTATATGTGCCTTCAAGTTCCTGTCAAATTATGGTGACCCCATGGATTTCGTAGGGTTTTCTTAGGCAAGGAATACTAAGAGGAGGTTTTGCCAGTTCCTTCCTCTGAAATATACCCTTCAGCACCTGGTATTCATTGGCTGTTTCCCATCCAAGTGCTAATCAGTGCTGATTCTGCTTAGCATCTAAGATCAGATGGGATCGGGTGCCTTTAGGGTATTTAGGCAGAAGTCTTGATGCATATTACATCCCTGGAATCCAGGAAGATCGATATCCTTTTGTTAAAAGCCTGCTTGGCACTTAAGACAAAAGCAAAAAGGGTGTTTCGCTCACCTCACCGTAATCAAGGAAATCTAAGGAAGAATGCTTTCTCTCATATCCATCTGTTTAAAACATTGTTAGGAGCCACTATGCAAACACAAAAGTGGAAGAATAATTAAGAGGGCATATACAAGCAAACACAAAGCAGATATGATCTCGAGAGATAGGGAACAATGGAAACCATATGCAAACAGAATATGCATACACACCCTTTGGTATCTGATTGACAGGCTCACAATACTAAAAGGAGAATGCAGATTCCCAGATACAATATCCTGTTGTGAGCTATGCCTGTTTCAGTGCAAAGTGTTCAGTGATAGTTTGGTCTTGCACAGGAAATTAAGAACCATTATCGTTACAAAAGCATGTCCTCAAAGACAACATATTGTTGTGAGCTATCCATGTTGCAATGCAAAGTGTTCCATTCAAGACATTAAGACCCATTAGCTTTACAGAAGCACCCCCAGAGATAATATATTATTGTGAGCTGTTGTGATGCAAAGCATTTGGCAATAGCTTGGTCTTGGGATGCATTATCCTTGCAAAAGCACATCTTCAGTGAAAATACATTATGAACTATGCCTCTACAATATAAAGTATCTGGGGGCAACTTGATCCTGAGCAAGAAGTTGAGATCCATTAATCTTTAAAAAGGTGTGATCCTGGAGGAGAATAAGACCACTAGAACAGTAGAAAGGAACCTGCATTTAAAAATAGCTTGCTCCCACTTCTGCAGGGATGCTGATTCCCAAAAACTGGGAGGTAGCATCCTTTTGGATACACTTGTAAATCCTCATTGTCAATTATTGGTAATGGCATTTTAAAATATACATTAGCAGCTACCATGTGTCAAATGTCAGGCTACACACCGCATCCAGCCTTGGTATTCATATACATGCATTGACTTGAGGGTTTTCCAGAAACAAGGTGTGAACTGATGAAAATTTTTGCTGTTTGGAATTTATTCTGTACAAAATTTGCACACGGGGTTTTTGAGTGGGAAACGGCACAGAAAATACTTTTTGCTGCCCACGCAAAAATCCACTTGCAAATTTTGCAGACTATTGTCCCCAAGTACAGCAAATGCTGCCAATGCTGTTTTCTGCGCCAAAAAAAGAAAAGAAAAGGCGCACGTTTTGTGTAGATACGTGCCAAACTGTGAATAATCTTCAAAAACTGCACAGTTTTCAAAGATTGTCTCACAGCAAGGCAGATAATTGCTAAAGTTACTTGTCGCTTTCTTTGAGAACAAAATTAGGGAAGAATTGCATTGCTTAAAAAAAAAGGGGGGGAGGGAATTGCTCTGAGATATTTTGCTGCCTGCAATGGTGAGCAAAATGCCCTTCCATGTACAAAAGCCAACCAGAACAGAAGCTAAATCTTTCTTCAACCGTAGCAATAGAAGAACATGTTGCAGCACAAGTGAAGACAGCAAGCCAGCTTAGCAGGCAGAAAGCAAGCTCACTCCTCCAACACCTTGCTGCTGTTTCCCACCATCTACAGCTCAGCCATGAAACTATTTGGAAATACCCTAAATCTTCTTTCAGGATATTCGCAGTATCCAAGGATTCACAATTCATTGCCATAAGATGGGAAAACAGTGACTATTTTTGAGATTTTTTTTAAAAAAAAGGGGAATAAATGAAGAAGCACCAGCAAGCAAAGCTGTTGTTGTTGTTGTTGTTGTGTTGTTGATGTGTGCCTTCAAGTCATTTCTGAGTTATGGAGACCCTGAGCCAAACCTGGTATAGTGGTCTAAGTGCAGAGCAAGAACTGGGTTCAATTCCCTACTCTGCCATGGAAACCCACTGGACAATTCACATATTCTCAGCCTCAGAAAACCCTGGGACAGCTTCACCTTGGGGTTAATAAGTCATAAACGACTTGACGGCACCCCACAACAACAACAACAACAAGGCAAACCTATTGCAGGGTTTTCTTGGCAAGATTTGTTCAGAAGGGGTTTACCATTGCTTTCCTCTGAGATGGAGAGAGTATGACTTGCCCAAGGTCAGCCAGAGGTTTTTAATGGCCTAGCAGGGGATTCGAACTCAGGTCTGAAGAGTTGTGGTCCAACACTCAGAACACTCTGCCACACTGGCTCTCAGCAAGCGAGGACAGGTATATTAAGGCAAAGATTCCCCCAGGAACACTTTCTTGGCTGTGAACAAGTTGCAACAGAATGCAGAAAGCAAGCTTTGGTGAAGCAATCTACTTGTTGTGGCAAAAGTGGCACGCTCCTTGCTTTTTCTGACTAATGTGAGAAGCCTTAGCTCCACCCTGGCCAAAGAAATGAGGGAGGGACCTGGTTGCAGGTTTTCTTTTTAAAGAGAGTTTACAGCTCCAGGCAGCTCAGCTGAGAGCATGGACTATGATAC